GCTAAAAGCGGGCGTGAGAAACCTCGATGGATCATCGTCGCCTTCCAGACGGATAGGAGTAATGATCAGACGCATAATGCCGCCGTCTTCGACCACTGCCAGTTGCAAAATATCCACGTGACCCTCAATGCTGATCGCTACCCCGCCGTGGACTTCAATGCCGACTTCCCCCAATGCAAGGTTGCTAGGGTCTATAAGGAGGTTGCCGAATTCCGCAAGAAATTCTACCACATGGAAAGTCTGCTGAGCAATGGCGGCGTCAACCCCTCCGACTTCATCGATCTCTACCCCTATTCGTCATCGACGTGAGTCATCAGTCCGAGCGTCTGAAAGAGTCGACCGTGGATATCCAGATCCGAGCCGACTTCAAGCGCAACGTCCCTGCCAATACCCAAGCCTTCGCCCTAGTCATCTCCGATCGAATCCTCCAGTTCGAATCTGATGGCCAGAAGATGAACGTCGTCTTCTGAGGAGGATTAAATAAATGGACGATTCACTTTTGCGGAAAATCGCCACCAATACCGAACCCAAGCAGGGGTTCTCCTTCATCGTCTCTGGGGATGATAGCCAGATTTTGACCCGCTTCAACCCACCCCTTCAACTGCGTGAGGAGAAATCTTACGAGATGGCCCTCGTGAATCTGGAGACGTACTACTCCATCCCCAATATCCATGCCGGAAATAATTCCTTCCGCTACTCCCCAGACGATGGCGCCAACTGGTTTCCCGTCGCACTAAGCACTGGCTCCTTCGGCATCGAAAATATCAATGATGAGATCCATCGGCAGCTGCGACTCAATAAGCATAAGCCCAAGATCATCCTCGATGCCAATCGTGCGACCCTGAGAGCAACGCTTACCCTCGCCACGCACTATCAGGTGGATTTCAACGTCCCAAATAGCATCAGTAGCGTGCTGGGCTTCGAGCGTCAAATCTATACTTTCGACCAGACCACGAACGGCTACTCAGAAGGGGAGAATATCGTCAATATCATCAGCATCAATAGCATCTTGGTGAATAGTGATATCATCAGCGGAAGCTATGTGGATGGAACCCAGCAGTCCACCATCTATAGCTTCTTCCCCGCCGTGGACCCAGGCATGAAGATCCTTCAGACCCCCAGAAATCTAGTATATTTGCCCGTGACCCTGCGAACCATCAATCGTATGGAGACTTATCTGACCGATCAGCACGGTACCCCCATCGATCTCAGAGGCGAGCATCTCACCATCCGCTTTCATCTTCGCGAAGTATAAATAAAGAATGTATCATGAGTACGGTTTGAGCTTGACGAAAAATCAAGCAGATAAGCTCCAGCGGGCGGCAAAGAAAAGCTGTCCAGTCACCATTCGCTTGTCCCACGCGAATTTGAGAGGTGATCATAAGATGTTGCTCACTGCCCGGCAGGTGCAAAAGATCACCAAGCTCCTGCAGCAAGGCATCGGTGGTATGAATCTGGAGATGAGCGCCACCCAATTGAAAGAGAATATGCAGAAGGTAGGGGGCTTCCTACCCATGCTGGCCGGGCTGGCTATGAGAGCTCTTCCCATGTTGGCAAAGACCGTTCTGCCGGCCCTGGGAGTGGGTGCGTTGAGTGGTCTGGGTAGCTCTGCCATTTCCAAAGCCATCGGCTCTGGATTATACTTGAAGCGTGGTGGGTGCGTCTGCTCCGTGAAACCTAGCGGAAGCGGTCTCTCCCTCAAACCTTCCACCGCCCGCATTGTCCAGGGCGATGGACTCTACTTGAAGAGCGGTCAGAAATTTTACGATGGCTCTGGGTTAATTCTTGGTCCCAATAGCCCCTTCAAGAACGTCCCCCTCCTTGGCATGCTTCTCTAGACCCCTAGATAAATGACCGATGAAATCGATGGTAGAGTCGATGATTTCCTGGAATCCGAGGTCCAAAAGTATGCCCGCATGCTGCAAATCTATAAGCGGCTGGATAAGGTGGTCTCCATTGCCTTAGGCGCATCTTCCATCGGCAGTCTTCTGCTGACTAGTGGCACCATGGGATCTGCTTTGACCGGGGTTGGTGCCATGGCTTCCCTCCCCTTTGGATCCCTCGCTTGCCTGACTGCCACGACCGTACTGGTGCTCTCTCTGATCTCCAAGCGAATCACCAAGAAGAAGAAGAAGCACCGCGATACTCTCCGCTTGGTCAGATCCTATCAGTCTCAGCTCCCGGGTGAATATGATACCCCTGCAGTCTGCCTGAAGAATTACTACGATGAAAAGGATCGGTTGCGCCAGCCTTCAACCCCTTTCAGCGAAGATCTCACCAAGCATTCCCAAGACCCACGCTGATCCCTAACCCTCCAATATTTTTTTTTCCGATGGGTTTCCCCATCAGAAAAAATATTCTACCGCCCCTCAAATCACCACTTCAAAATCGAAGTAGTCATGACCGCTCTTCTTTGCCTTCTTCATCCCATAGTTATCGATCTTGAGCAGGTTCCACTTATTCCGTGGTATTCGATCCATCTCCCGGATCATCCTACTGCACGCCCAGACCTTAGTCTTCACCCCTTTCCTCTCCAGCGTCAGAATCCTGCTCTCCCCATACCTACTTTTCGTCTCCCGGACGTCTATCACTTTGAATATTTCCCAAGCCAGGTCGCGCCATCTCAGTATCGGCTCGCTTCTGGCTTCCTTTTGGATCTGTCCCCTCTTTCTCACCTCCTCGTCGCTTTCTTCCCGCCCCGGACCAAGCAATCGGACGGACTTATCCATATTTTGCGATTCGGAATTCATGATTTATTAGGGTTTCCAAATTTTTTAATCTATTTTATGTTTTTGGTGGGACGGACCCCTCCACGCCCCCAGATGCCCTACCGATGAGGCTTCCCAGCACTTTTCAGCATCCCTGACTCGCTCACGATCCATTTGCACCCCAGGGCTCGGAATTGGGGATCCTATGCAGAATTTTCCCTTGAAATGGCATTTGAGGCAGAACTCTCATTTTCTCACTACTGTTGTCAATATCACTGGGTTCCTGTCGCTTTAGCGTCACGCAACAACCATTTAGAAATACATTATGTAACATTTGTTAATATGGTCAATTTGTGCATTGACATATTTCACGTGCATTGTCCGTGACAGCATAATTTAATTTTTATCTTAATTCTTACTTTTCCGTTCTTGGTTGTGAATTTCGATGCAATAACATAACTTACATGACTTAGGTAGACAATTATTTGATCATGATGTAATTAGACATGTCATTTGCAATACATATAAGTTATTTCGTTGTAAAATTAGAGATGTATGCCTTCTGGCTAATAAATAAACACAGTTTAGTTATATGTTTATAAACATCAAATGTACACAGGTCTTTATAAATCATTTTACATTTATTTTTGTTAATTTTTCAAAAACATTTAAATCTAATACGTAGGACAGGCGGAATATATCAAACGAATGTTCAAAATTATAATATATAGAGACGTAAGGGGCCTTAGTTAAATGTCCACGGACTTTTCAGAGCTCCCGAAAAAGTAAACTGATTTCATAGAAGAACTGTCTTATCAACGTATTTATTGTGATAAATATTTGATAAATAATCTACCTAGAAGTATTTATCTTGAAGTAATGGTAAAAATGAGTAACGAAGAGTTCTTTAATGAAAACTCTGAAAGTGACCAAACAACAACAAAAATGGCGTCGTATGCGGATGCCTCAAAAACTGAAAATGATAAAAGTAATGCTCAAAACAGTGACAACGGGTTCTCTGCAGCCAAACCCGTATTTATATTAGAGACTGATTTCTTCGGAACTATAAAACCAAAACCTGTAGACTTTTTAAATCATGCTGAGTTGTACAGTGATATTGGCCATGTAGTGGAAGACAGCCATTTGAAAGGTCTTCAAAGGGTTAATGGAATGTGGCGGGTTTATCTTCATAGTGAGTCAGATAGGGAACATTTTATAGCTAATGGTCTCACTATCAGGAAAAAAACACATACATGTATATGATAGAAACCCAAAATTTGTAGTTAAAGAACACATCAACTACTTACGCATCCGGATAAAAAACGTACCCTTATCAGCAGACGACAACCAAATTAGTAGATATCTTGAGACCGAACATAATCTCAAAATTCACAACTTCAATCGGGAAAGGCTACGTATCAACGGATTTCTTACCAACTGCCAAACCGGAGACCGGTTATTCATGGAAAGTCCAGTACCTGGTATACAGCTACCTAGATTCATCAGTATAGGAAAATACAAAGCGCTACTCATCCACAAAGACCAAATTGTAGTAAATCCTTATGCTAAATGCAACAAGTGTTTACAGACGGGACACAAACAGGAGACCTGTGACAATGACTGGGTGTGCAACTCCTGTGGCAAATCAGGTCATAAAGCCAAAGAATGTCAACAACCGATGGACGATCAAGCAGCAGATCAAGATCAGAATGGTGATTCGAATGTTCCTGATAGTGTACCTGAAGCTGCTAACGTTGATAACGTTCAAGATGAAACTAAAGATAAGCATCCTGAAAGTGAAAGTAGTGATGATTCAAATGATGATAGCGAAGATGAGGAACAACAATTAGTAGTCTCAAAAGAACGTAAACAAATTACTACGAACAATGAGCAGACAAACAAAAAAGACAATAAGACAAATAAAAAAAAAAATCAAACAAAAAATAAATCAAACAAAAAAAATCTGCCCAGGTCAGCTTCTGGACCCATGGATCACTATATGAACTTTAAAGATCCTAAAACTCCACGCCAATCAACTGGGAAAAGGCAAGCAACAACACCGACCGATAAATTACATAAACGAGTAGTAGAGCCGACAAAACAGAAGACAAATCCCTAACCAGTGACCTAGTTAACCTTAATGTACAGTAGTGTGTTTTTCAATGCACAGTTTTTGTGCATATGTATATATGTTAGTCATATTTTTATCTTAAATGAAAAATGTGAAAAAAAAATAATTCATTGTGTGATACAATAATATTAGATTGTATACACTCTGTAAGGAAACATATATTAAATGTTGATATGAAATATTTTATTATGATTATCATAAAAACAAATGAACATGATCAAATAGTTGATCCATTGAAAGTTATTATCATCTTTTTATTAACCAAGAATCAATTCAAAACACGTGTAAATCCCAATCTGAATGGTTCCAGTATGATTGGTAAATTGATTAACTGTAGCTGCGTTCCACATCACTTAGTTGATGAAATCACTTCCTTGAAATATAAAATCCATGTTAATAAATGTCTCAATTCCTCACATACATGTACCAGGAATAACTTTAAAACTGAACAAGATCGGCCATATACATGTACATTATCTCACTTAGTTCACCTGGACACAATTAGTATCAATTTCAAAGATTGGCATATTAAAAACACCACTATTGCCTTAGGTACCCAAAAACTGAAAATTAGTTCCTTCTATATAGTTCATGTATTTTTTGTACAAGCTACTTCCACATCTATGGTGATTGCCACTCTAAAAAATCTGAAAAGAATTGAAACATATGTTAATAAAAGTTATTTGTTTGTTCTTTTACAATATAGTTTATATCAAACGCACACATCAATAAACAACTATTTAAGTAGGTCAATCAATGTAGTCGTCAATGTAAACATGTATCGTCTGTCAAACACAAAATATCTGCGACTATATTTAAATGTTCAAAAAATATTTCTCTTTTTAATTTGCATTATCGTCATACATGTGACATGCCTAACTAAAAACAGTATAACTACAGTTATAGTCATGCAGACCCTATTCCAAAAATCCACAAATTTCTCAGTTTTCACCGAACCTAAAAATAGATTACTCGGTAAAACAATTCAGAGATTGGTGGGAATCATGATAGCGTCTTTCCTGATTATTGGAAAAGGGTATAGTTATTTGAATGATATATCTTTATATATAAATACACTTAAGCTTTGTTATTCTTATATTTGATACATAGTATTGATATGTAAACAAACAAAATTTAGCTCGAAAGTGGTTAGCATAATCAAATCTGTTATTTATTTTATGTTACACTGTTATAATGGTCATTTCTTACAACTATCCTTCTTTATAATGATATTTTTATTACTATATTGTGTCTTTGAAAAAAAGAAGTTAACAGTGCATTTAACCTTGTGTATATACAAACATGTAAAAAATGTAATAAGGGATGTTGTTCTAATAATAGTCTCATTAACATGTAGTACTGGGTGGGTTATTACACTAATTATGAGTACCATAATTGTACAGTTACATTTAATGTATAAAAGTGAACAGTTCCTAGGTAAAAACAATGAGAGACAATATACATATTATATCCTTAAACTGTCAAGGTTTAGGACAGAAAGAGAAAAGAGAGAGATTATATTTGTGGAATAAACATCAAAAATGTAATATATTATTTATACAAGAATCCCATCTAATAGAGAAAAATGAACATATTATTAATAGTGAAGTAAAAGATAAATGTGTTCATAGCTATGGAAGTTCCCAATCCAGAGGCGTTTCAATAATGATTAAAGACAGTATAAATTATAAACTAATAAATGAAGTTAAAGATAATGATGGGAGAATTATTTTGATCAACATTGAAGTTACTAACAGAAATAAATTTTTTAAAAGCGTAAATGACATCATAGAAAATAATCGCTTAGGTATCTTAATTTTAGGAGGGGACATGAATGAAACCCTATTAAAGATAGATAGGAAATCAAATAGCTCTCATAAATACTACAAACCAGTAAATAGTCTTAAACAGCTCATTAAAAAAAACCAAATTAATAGATATATGGAGGGAAATAAATCCAAACAAAATTCAATTTACATGGAGAAGGAAAAACAATACGAATATAACAAGTAAAATATACTTCTTTTTGATCAGTCCAGACATAAGGCCACACGTAATCAATTCTGATATAAGACCTGCTATGATATCACATACTGATCACCAAGCCATTTCGTTAAAAATAAGACAAAATCCCCATGGCAGAGGAAGAGGTTTCTTTAAAATAAATAATAGTATTTTAATAGATGATAATTATAAAAACCATATAAACAACCTTATTTTAAAATATAAAGAAAAGGCACTTACCACAGATTCTAGAGATATTTGGGATATCTTCAAATCTGAAGTAAGGGACATAACTGTAATGTATTGTAAATACAAGTCAACTGAAAAGAAAAATAAAATAAAAGATTTAGAAATGAACTTACAAAGATTAAATAATAAAATTAATTCTTCAAAAGAAACTGAAGATGAAATAGAAAAAATTGAAATAAATCTAGAAAATCTTTATAAAAATGAAGTTAAAGGTGCACAAGTAAGATCCAGAGTCAAATGGTTAGAAGAAGGGGAAAACACAAAATTATTTTTAGGTTTATAAAAATCAAGACAAACAAAAAAAGATATTTCGGCATTGAAAGATAAGCAAGACAAAATCATAACAGAGCCATCAGAAATTTTAAATTTAGAAAAATGTTACTATGAAAATTTATATAAAAGTACAAATCCAGATGTTAATAATATTAAGCAATATGTTGAAGAAGCAAAAATAGATCATAAATTTACTGATAACGAGAAAAGTTCTCTAGGCGGCAACATCTCAATAGAAGAATGCACAGAAGCCATTTTTAATATGAAGCTAAACAAATCACCAGGTATAGATGGTCTAAGTGTTGAATTCTATCGCACATTCTGGGATAATATAAAAGAACTAGCTGTAGAAGTTTTCAATACGTGTTATGAGAAAGAAGAATTAACAACATTACAAAAAATAGGAATAATATCTTTATTGTACAAAAAAAAATGACCCACTATCCCTAGACAATTATAGACCTATAACTTTACTAAATGTTGACACCAAATTAATAGCCTATACTTTAGCCCAACGGTTAAAACCTGTTTTATCGAAAATAATAAATAGTGATCAGAATAGATATGTAAAAAATAGGTACATTGGTTTCAATATCCGACAAATTCAAGGTATCATAGATTACTCTGAAACTTTTAATATAGATGGTGCTTTATTATTTATAGATTTTTCAAAAGCTTTTGATTCGTTAGAATGGTCATTTATGTATGAAGCTCTTTTAAAATTTGGTCTCCCTCATTCGTTTATTAAATGGGTTAAAAATTTTGTATAATGGTGTCAAAGGGTTGTATGCTCAATAATGGGTGGATTTCTGAAACCTATAGCATCTTTCGTGGTATTAGACAAGGGTGTCCCTTAAGTTCGATTATTTTTGTTATAGCTGTAGAGATTCTGGCATGTAGAATAAGACAAGATACAGGTATTAAAGGGTTTCAAATCAAACTTGATTCTAAAATACATAGTCTTAAAATCTCACAGCTTGCAGATGATACTACACTTTTTCTTAAATCAAAACAAGAAATAAGCCTGGCATTAAATTTAATTGAAGAATTTTGAACTCTTTTTGGTCTAAAACTTAATAAATCAAAAACTGAAGGAATATGGCTAGGTAAATTAAAACATTCTAAAGATAAATATGAAAACATTAGTTGGAATAAAACCCCCATTAAAAGTTTAGGTGTATATTTTGGAACTAATAAAGTTGAATGCAATAAATTAAACACAGAAAATATTTTGAGGAAGTCAGAAAAAGCAATTTCAAATTGGAAGAAAAGAAAGCTTACAATGATTGGGCGAATAACAGTAATAAAAACATTAATTATACCAAACATAACCTTTTTAGCATCAGTAACCAATTTATCGAGTGACTTTCTAACACAATTTAAAAAACTAATATTTATCTATATATGGCAAAACAAAAATGAGGAAATCAAGAGATCTACTCTATGTAATGATTATCAGGAAGGAGGTTTAAAAATGATTGATATAGATAGTTATATAACATCAATTCATATATCTTGGGTTAAAAGGTTAACAACAGAAGAATTCTCATTGGAAGGTTATACCTTTATATTACTTTAACAAATTTGGAGCTAACTTCGCTCTATTTAACATGAACCCTGAAAATATATATGACATACCAAATTTTAAAAATTCTATGCCAGAATTTTATTTAGAAATATTAAAAAGTTGGTATAAAGTACATAATAGTTCCAAGATAAGCAAGGGGTTAAATTTCAAAAGTGTAAGACAGCAATTCATTTGGGGTAATCAATCAATTAAATTAAATTGTAAAAGTCTTGTTTTTCCAAACTGGATAGAAAGTGATATTTTTTTTATTAATGATATCATAGATAAACAAGGTAATATCTCCCAAAAAGTAATCTTAAATGAATTGAAAGAAAAATCAAACTGGATAGCAGAACTTTCTAAACTGAAATCTGCAATCAAAAAGGAATGGAAAATCATGTTAAAATCAAATCAATCCATTTCAACTAAAGTTCAAATAGACAGAAATCTTTACTTAGAAGCAAAAAACAAAGCCAAATCAATTGGATTAAAAAATTAAAAGATAAAGATATATATAATTATATCAAAGGTATAAAAGTGACACACCTATTGGCTTCATAAAATAGAAAAAAATATTCAATCTAAATTCTTCAAATCATATACATGATATATTAAACTTTACATTTCACCAGTTTAAAAATGATAACAAACTAAAAATGTTTAGGTGGAAATTGATCAATTATATATTACCATGTAAGCAACTGCTTTATCAATGGAAAATAATGAAGGATAAGCAATGTCATATATGTCACCAAGTAGAAAATTATGATCATTTTTTAAAGAGTGTGAATTTTTACAAGAATTTTGGATTAAAGTTGGGTTACTACTTGATAAAATAAAAATAGGTACACATATTTTATCAATGCAAAATTTAATACTTGGATACAAAATTCATGACAGTTCATATTTTGATATGAATGTGTTGTTAACAATTGTTTTATTTGCTATTTACAAAAGTAAGTATGCATTAGAGTTAAGACACAAGTACATAGATGAATAGAGTGTTTTTAAATTAGAATTCTTAGAATGGTATGAAAATAGTATACTCTTAGAAAGAAAATGTAGTAAATCTTTGAAAGATACATTTAAATATATCTAATTAACCACAATGTAATTCAATAGGAGAGGTGTGCAAGTACTCATAGTTGAGTAGTTGTGTTACAGGGAATGTGAGTGTGCAAGTTTTGTGTAGGTATATGTGTGTGTCTCTGTTTATGTGAAAGTTGACATTATACTCATAGAGCAACACTATGTTTCTTATTTATGTTTTATGTTTACGGTTTCTCTGTTTACACGAAACGATTGGCAATACTTTATATAAAGTATCAACAAAAACTCATTCTTTATTCATGTTTTTGATCATGTTAACTTACCATCAGAATTAATGTCCTCAATGATTGATATATACCAGAAGTCCATTACTAGACTCATAATGCTTCAAGTTTTCAGTATTCTGTAGCGTGTACAAGTTATCGTTAAAGAAAACAAAACAGTTATTTCATTAAATTTAAAACTTACCAAATAAGTTAAGAATATTCCAACACACAAGAATGAATAAAATAAACGTGTTCGAGATACATAATAAACATCTATACCACGTGATATACAATTAAAATAAGTAGAAAAACGTAAACAGAGAGAACGTATGTTTTCCGGATTTGTCGCTATGCAGATTTTGTAAACTATATCGATTGTAATATTCTATTAACCACTTTTGAAACTTATAATAAGTTTATCTTGTGAATTCCCTGGTTCATTTGATAATTTACACACAGGGATAAACCTATTTGGGATAGTTGTACCTTTTAGGGTATTTGTTAACAACCAATTGTGCAATAAACTGAATAATTATTAAAAAAAAAAAAAATTATTAGCCGATTGACTGATTGATTATTGTTTACCTAACGTCAAGTGGAAAACATCTTTTTTAATTCTAAGGATGTGAAAAAATAACATAAAATATGATAGGCAGAATCAGAATAAAATGATGGAAATTTTATATATTCAAAAGAACGAGAATCCTTTACAACAAGGCAGAATGGTGAAACGGAATACAGGAATATTAAGATACATGGATATTTCATTGGGCGTTCAAGTCACCATACTGGTTCCTACTCGACCATTCTAAATAAGTATGAATTTCAATAGAAATTAATTTACATAAATCTTAACCCTACTCGACTTTATTGATTCGTACTCGACCCTAAGTCTTAATTGCAATTTGTTTAAAAAATGATACGAAAACAGAGAGAAATATTGTATAGTTTAAGATAATAGTAAGTCAGAAGGTTGATAAAATAGAAATAAACGGGTTGATTGTTATTAAGAATAGGTCGAGTACAGTTCATACCTGGTCGAGTATGATTCAGACATTGAAAACACGTTAAAACCACACGAGCATTGGGTAAGGCAGGCTCAGTAATTTTCTAAAAAAATCAGACTTATTTAGAATTGGTGAATAAGAATCAATACAGTCAAGTACTCATACTGGCTATTTCTAACTTTTACTGGTTTTTAGACTATATCTTTATAGAGTCGACATATTGTCATATCGTATTCATACAAAGGCAACAATCAATATGCTTGTATTACTTTTTTTAAATGCATCGTATTTCTTGGTTTAAATACTTTGTCGTGTGTCATTGTTTTTTCTTTCTTCTTTCACTGATTGAACTTACAATAACTTATCATGCACCGCAGTTATAAGTTACATTGTTCAGTTTTTAATTAAAAAGTCTTCAAAAATTACAAATGATTAATATAGAGTTAACAACTTCCTAAACAACAAATTGTTTCTGGTACACATACATTTAGAATTGGGACGTCACATCTTTGATTCGCGTAGAGAGCCTGTCATGTTTTCAGTCCGTTGATCTGTGCCGGATATATAAATACTCAGCAACGTCCAATCAAATTTTGGGAGGGGGGGGCATCAAATTTGTTGCTTCACGTATAGACCATGTCTTGATTTCTGTCCGTTAAAATGCTTTGCAAGAATTCTTAGAGGAGTCCGTCAGTAGCCTGCGGCGAAGGACATTTCAGACCCTATCCAATATAGCCTCATTTTTTCAGTGACATTCACTTTTCAGCCCGATTTACTCCAATTGATGTACCTACCTACCTATTATATTTATTGATAATGTGTTCTGGTCCTGAATATACATGTAATATTTGTCATTGGACGTAAAGCAAAAACACCAGTCAATAAACCAAACCCGGTATGATAGGAAACATTAAACACAGACTATCACTGATTAATTGATTTTATTACACGGAAACTCACAGGTGTTACTAGTTTAACAGGGACCTCTTAGTCTTCTGATCTTGTAACCCTCATAAGTTTTTGATGGCGTTCCTATTGCTTACTTTATAGTTTCAATAAGTTTTGTGGACTATTGCGTCAAACTTTGCTTTCTATGGCAATGGTGTTGTTTTTTCTTCTTCAACTTTTAGACATAAATATATAAGTTGTCCTTAGACTAGAACCCTGTATTCATTTACAGAATTAGGTGTTGTTGGCAGATTTTTAAAAGTATCTATGAAATTGATAAACAAAAAGCTTCGCGACGGGGCTGATTTTTCGCGACGGGGCTGATTTAGAGGCTTAGCCATCGTTAATACTCTTCTGCATTGGATAGGTTTCAAAATGATTTTAATTATGTTGTTTTTTAAAAATCAAACGTAGTTTAGTGCTGTTCAAATCTTATTCATACATTAATTACATCAACATCAGGTCAACAAAGAAGGAATTAAATATAGAACAATGAATGTTGTGTTGTCAGGGTAAGCACATCATGCTATTGATGCATCACATGAAAAGCAAAATGTAATAGTTAGGAAAAGGACATTTGCGGTCAAAACCAAAATCGTTAAGTGTAATTTTGTGCTTCTTTCTTCTGTAATTAAACTCATCAAAGATACCAGAATTAATACTTTGTCTACAAAAGACTCATCAGTGACGCTCGAAACAAAAATTTAAAAGGACAAATAAAGTACGAAGTTTGAAGACCCAACATTCCGAAAAGTTTTGCCAAATACATCTAAGGTAATATATGTTTGGGATCTTCTTGTCTTTCCTTAATTTTTCTATTGCGTTGTTTGCCCTTCATCAAAATTAATACGATTGCCCACTTTGCAACCATTGAGTTTTGTATTGGCATTCTATATGTAACTGCAATCCCATTCAGCTTTAAATAAACACTTTCAGGAAATTCTCAGGAAATTATTTTATTGTTTTGAAGACCGAGGGCATACTATTAACATCCGTCGTTTGATGACAATTTTGACCTAAACATGTTGAATTTCTTTGCTATTTGATTTGTTTTATGGTTGGGTCTCATGCTCATGAAAGTATATACAATTTCCTTATTGCATATACCGTTTATTTCAGAATTCGATTTTGTCTCTTTGTAGTTAGTATTGAGATACAGAAGTATTGTTTATACAGAAATATATAATAGATATAATAACAATCTTTCGTAAACAAGACCAAATACCACCTCAACTCACATAAAGTAAAAGAGCTTTGAGTTATCCGCTTGTGTAGTGTTTGCCTTCTGTTTGCTGTTATTATGTGTAGAAACATTCATCCACAATTGAGAAAGATGTGATCAAAATTAAAGGAACTTTCGAAGACAATATAACAAGTGCGTCCCCCTCCAAAACATACATGAATTTCATTTTTCATTTTTTTTTATTTAAGAACGTATCACAGATATTTCTGAGTAGAAAACGTCATAAAAATTGAAATAAGGTCTATCAAAGTAAAGCCGCTTTCCTTGAAAAAAAAAAGCAAAATCGTTTCATATATTGTCAGATAAGATAAAGGAAGAAAGGTAAAGCGATAAGTATAGAAATAGACAACACCATCATTTGATAAATTTAATTGGTACCTTTAACGTTATTAACAATACGAGACATCTAAATATTGCGCAATACCTATAAAACAATACATGTACACATATTGAAATAAAATTAAATACCACGAACTGAAAACTGAACCTAACACAAAAGGCAGACCCATTTTTTAAATCACACTTAGGCATGGACCCAGCTTTTCCCGGAATTGTATAACACTTTACGGGGCAGACCCACTTTTTCCTGGAGTACAAGGAGTTTCTGATATCTACTGTCCCGGTGACCAGAGTTAATATGGGATATTTGAAATAAAAATGAAAGCAGTGGCCTTGTGACAACCAAATGAAGACGGTTGGTAATATGAACGAATTGATGAACAAGTCAATAAATAACTTAAAACGCACTTTAACCTAGTTACCTTAAATAAATTAATGCAATACTTATGTTAGTAATGTATACAATAAAAGTAATACTTTCGAAACCAAATTAGGCTGACAACATTACTGAAAATTACATTTATTTATACTTGATTATAAATTTAATTGCCAATCTGCGCGTTAACGTATCAATCTGATTGTTTACTTTCAGGTCTGATGTTATAATATAAGTATTCGTGCATGGGTTTGCGTACCGTCCAACGAACATAGTAGTTCCCGAAATGTCATCCCGTATGAAAAACATGAATGGATGGTCAGCTACAAACTGAAATGATCCTCCAACTGAACCTGCCAACATCCCCATTGTTGTAGCAGCAACAGCCCTCGTACCCTGTTCTGTGACTTCTATGTATGACTTATGATGGGCGTCATTTACAAAAACAAATTTCAGGGTTGTTATCTTGAGAAATTTGTTGTCTTCGAGTCAAATATTTCAGTGATTCTAAAGCAAAAAGTACTGGTTTTAGATCATATTTAGCTTCAAATACGAATTTTGGAATTCTGATTATTGTATCTCGTCGCCAAATTCCACAAAACATGTTGTCATAGTTATTTCAATTTCAAGTTGAGATAGTCCATCTGCACATTTTCTGTATATTGAAGTTGCAAACTCGATTTTTAAACAACAACCACAAAGCGTTGGTCATACTTCATATCAACTTGTTTTTGCTGGTTAGAATTGTCTAGAAAATTCCTCTTTGTTGTGTTATTTGGGTTTAACTCCTTATTCCAAGTTCCTTTAAAGTAAATTGCATTGGCTAAAACCATAACACTTCCCGAAGTTATAGCATTAGGTGGAAAAACATTCTTGATTTTATTTTTTCTTTGCGTTTGCAATCCAATTATTGATGTTCACTCTTGATTGATCTGGTGCCGATCTAAAATTCATGTCTTTAAATTGCTACCATAGTATTGTAAAGCATTCGCTGTAAATGTGTTCAAAACATTCAATTTGTTATCTCCAAAAAGTCTATTACCAACCGAAAGCACTACTCCATTCCCTGTTAGTGAAGACAGTTTATCATTAAGAAGTTTATAACCAATGTTGACATCACTTGCTATGTGTTGTTTGAACAGTGAAGATCTTATTTATTTGTTTGTAGTTCCACCTGTCCCGAGCATCAGAAGCATCAATTCGCTTGTTATTCTATAGGGAAAAATCAATTCATTTCCACTTTTCCCCACTGTATTGTACAAAGAAAATGATAATTCTCCAACTGTTTCTTCGAAGGCAACATTAGATGCCATTTTTTAAGATGTTGGGCTGTTTTCAATGAAAACGTTTAGTAAAAGAAGGCGAATAAGCTTCTTTCTTATATACCACTAATGACGGAAAATTCGTCATATTAATAACCAAATGATATGCAATAAATACTATTGCTAAGATTGTATCCTGTCGTTTTAAAACATGACCTTATACTTGTTATGGTGGTACAAAACACAAAAAGATAAAACAGTTTTACGCA